GTACCACTCCCTGGCTCCCCCCAAAGCTCCCCAAACCGCTGTTTCGGAGCCCCAGAGCTCCCCACGTGGGTGTTTCTGAGCCCAAAATCTTCCTAAACGGGTGTTTCGGAGCCCCAAAGCTCCCCAAACCGCTGTTTCGGAGCCCCAAAGCTCCCTGTATCGGTGCTTCCCAGCCCCAAAGCTCCTTAAGTGGGAGTTCTGGAGCCCCAGAGCTCCATAAATGGGTGTTTTGTATCCCTAAAGCTCCCCGAATCAGTCTTTCTGAGCCCAAAACCTCCCTCAATGGGTGTTTCTCAGCCCAAAAGCTCCCCAAACCGGTGCTTCGGAGCCGAAAAGCCCCCCAGGGGAAGGGGCTATGGCGGGAGGAGATGCAGCTTAGGCATCATTACGCCCCTTCTCCGCTCAAATCCCACGCCTGCTTGGTGTAGAGAGACCCCCAGGATGTCCTTCCACATCCTCTTCCCACACCCAAGCGGTGGGCACTCGCTCCGAGGCATCCGGGTCTTCCTGAAGTACCTCAGAGTAACCAAGGGGTCTTCGACAGGGCGGGAGGTGACGACGCCGGGGACACGCAACCTCTGGGAATGTCGGCCAAGAGCCAACCGAAGTGGATGTCAGTGGTGGAGCAGGTGAAGACGGGGAAGGGGGACGGTGGCAGGAGGACGCGGTGGGGACCCACTGCCTCTTTTCCAACAGCTTCTGGCCCAGCTCGTATCTGTTTGGTGGACCATCACCCACCACAAGACACGATGACCCTGCAGTTTGTTGCTGTGCTGTCAGAATTTTATGACCTCGACAAAAGACTCAAGATCCGCGTTGTCTTCTACAAACAGCCCGGTCTCTGCGAAGAATTCGCCAACATGGAGAAGAAAAGGTAAAAAAACGATGGTTGAATTTACGCCGAGGAGGTGTTTCTGCTGCAGTTCTCCTTTGGGAGATTCAGCTCTGGGCTGAAGGACCTCGCTGCAGGTTCCTACAGAGGTTGGAGGTGAACCCCCAAACGGAGCCATCCCGGTGGAGTCATAGCACTTGGTGATGGCTCCTCCAATCTCCTCATCACTCGTGGAGCTGCCATTTTGGCTGGGGCCAGGATCTTTCAGCCCCATGCGAGGATCCGTGCTGGGCTGGTTGCTTTAATTAGTCCCCTGGCTGATGAACCCGGCTGTGGATTTCTCCCTGACGTTTTGAAGGCCAACGATGTCTCTTTGGATGAACCAGAGCTTGACCATCAAGGTCAACCCCAAGCCAACGAGCTCTTCTTCCTCTTCCAGAGACAGCGTGATCACGGGCAGCGCCAGGATCCCCCTTTCTTACCTGCAACGAGGACTCATCTTTTATAAATACGCCCTCGTTAACACTTTCAGCCGAGAGAGAGAGTGTGAATTAGAGCACATTTCTTTAGAGAACTCCAACAGCCCAGAGTCATGGAAGTACAGAAATGCTCAATTATATCGTGTCGTGAATATACCCAAAACGGAGATCAAAGCAGACGGTAAGCGCTGTTGCTTACCCCAAAGTCATGACTGGCCACGATGGTGATGGCCGTAGGCTGGCCTACCTTTCACCCTGGCTTATTTTGGGAGCTTTCAAGCCGCGGGTTTACCAGCTGCTCATACAAATCAGCTTTTTTCCCTCATAATAAAACTCACGGCTGGCACCCAAGCCATAGCACCCAAATGCTGTCTGGGAAATGGGTGGCGCTTCTCGGGCTATAGAAACGCGCCGGTGGTTTCGTGCTTTCGGGGCTCAGCCGAGCTTGGTGTCTACATTTTGTTCCCAAACTCTTCCTTTTTCCCCAGGAACGTGGACTTTCTTTGAACACATCGAATGCAGTTTCCCCGGCATCAGCACTGACATTTGGAAAGCTTTATCCAAAAAGGGGCCTGGGTGCACGATCCAGATGGAGTACCTGGTGAATGATTTCTTTGCTCACACTACCTCCTGGAATTCCCTTGAGGATGCAGAGAGGAAACTGGATCGGTATGAGGAGAGCATCAAAGTCTGTCTCGGGGATGCCGAGAAGGGAGAAGACTTTGAGATCGTCTACAGTTGGGATGAGGAAGCGGTAAGCGTCCACCAAAACCTCTGGGGACCTGGCAAAGTGATGTCCCTCGTTTTGGGGGATGGCTTGGACATCGGAGGGGTGAAGCTAAGAGCCTTCTCCTGCCCGGTGTATTTAGCACGTAGGACCTTCCTGGATGGACGTGTGGCACCGGGAAGAAATAATTTCTCCCTAGGGAGGTGCCACGCAAAGGTGCCCCCAGGCAGCAGCATCTTTCACCTCCCACCCTCCTCCCTGGACCAGGCCGTTCTCAGACAAAAAACATCTTGTCCAGCCTGGTGAAACACCCTCTCCTTACTCCTGTTGTCCAGGTGAGAGGCAATATTGGAACCCTCGTACAGGCGATCATCAAGCGCCTGAAGACCGAGAAACATGAACTTCCTGAGCTCCTGTTCGCCTTCCACACCTCGTTTCGCTATCACATCCCCCTCCCGCCGGCATCCATCGCCATCGAGTTCTTCGAAGACAAATACAAAGAACTGAGAGGAAAAAGGTAATTTAGATTTGTCAACCTGCTCGCTTGGAGCAACGACACCTTTAGAGGTCCGGGGCTCAGCTCAGTTGTCCCCACATGTCACTTTGGGTGCCATGTGCTACCCCAAGGGGTCTTTGAGGGTGCATAAACCCGAGTTGGTGGCTTCCAGCCTGGTGAGCCTATCTTGGGTACCCCGGGCACCTTGAAGAGCATTCAACCGTCTCTGATACTGTTGTCCCGTCGAGGTGTCTCGATCCGAGCTCTTTCCAGGCAGCTGCCTGCAGGCAGGATGAATCCTATTGCACGTTGTGGGAAAAGACTCAGTCCCATGCTGACACACCTCTCTTACCGGCATCCCAGAGGTTGGTTATGGGAAGTTTGACTTTTTTGGCTTTTTTTTGCAGCAAATACTTCCCGTCTCTGAAGAAAATGTGTCTCAGGACCACTGACGGCACCTTGTGGATCTGGTTGGTCCCGCTGCTCTACGCGATCAAGGAGAAGACAGAGGACCCCTTTCTCCCACACGAACCTCCTTCAGAAGCCTTCATACAGCTGAGGGGGGACGAAGAGAAGCAAAGGTGGGTCTGAAAGGCTGAGGTAGGATCGGATGAACTGTCGTGCTCTTCAAAGCACTTTTCATTCCTTCTGCATGGTGGCTTCTCAAGGAGCTGCCCCTTCTCCTCAGTATGCTGTGTCCCCTGCCCTGGGGGGTGTTGAAGGAGCACTGGTGGACCTCAAGGGGAGGATAGAGCCAGGTGCCGTGCGGTCTCATCCAGACAGCTGGATGGGAGCAGTCCTGGGGAGAGAATGGGCGGGGACATCTTCCGCTAGATCAGGTTGCTCAAAGCCCTGTCCAACCCGACCTTGCCCAGCACCAACGATGGGGCAGATGTCCCTGTGCATGGCAGGGGGGGTTGGACTAGATGGTCTTTCAAGGCCACTTCCAACTCAATCCCAACCCAACTCATTCTGCGATCTTCGACTAGATCATGTTCCTCAAAGCCCCGTCCGACCTGACCTTGAACACTTCCAATGATGGGGTACCCACAGCGTCTCGGGGCAACCCGTTCCAGTGTCTCACCACCCTCATCATTCAGCATTTCTTCCTTAAGTCCGGTCTAAATCCAGCCTCTTTCAGTTTAAAACCGTTGCCCCGACGCAGGTGCAGGACCTCGCACTTGGCCTTGTTGAACTTCACGAGGTTGGCACGGGCTCACTCCTCCAGCCTGTCAAGATCAACTTGAACCTTGAGTTTTGTCCTAATGACCTTAAAGCGGGTAAATTTCCAAAAACTCCTGCTTTGCCGTGTAGAGTCACTCGCTGTCAAACCCCAGCTCCTCCTTCCAGCCCCCAGCCACCATGGCTGTAGGTCACCACTGTGTCATGGTGCCATCTCAAATGCTACCAACGTACCTCCCGGTCCTCCAAAGTCCATCTGATGTTCTTGACCTGCTTTCCTAGGAAAGTCCTGAAGATGATAGACAGTCACAAGACCTTGATTAGAAGATGTGCTCCGCTGGCAAAGAAGGTGGTGGAGATGGTGGCCTTGAGGAACTTCACCAGGAACCCTTTGCCTGACATTTGGCTTCCACTCCAGCTCCTCTTGGACACCTTGTACAGGCGCATCTTGCACATCAGTACAGCCTCATCCCAAGTGCCTGTAAGGACAACTGACTGGCGGAAGCCCTTCTTCTGCTCTGCAGGGAGTGGTGGGGCTGTTTAAACGTGGGCCAGAACGTGTCCTTGGTTCCTACAGAGATTTTCAGCAGGCCTGAAGGACTTAATTGTAGAAACACAGGGTTAGAGCTGAATCCTGGGACCAGAAGAAAGGAAATCCCTTTAATCTTGCCAGAAAACTTCACGCTTTAGTGTTGACACGTGGAAGCTCCTCCGCTGCGGTAGCAGAAGCCTTCTCACATTTGTCCTCAATGTCTTTCTGTCCTCTTTTCAGGAAGACGATTTGAACGTGGCTTTGGAAATCATCGCCACCAGGATGGACTCCTGGTTCAAGGACTTGTGAGTGGGGACTTCTTGAGAGGAGAGGTGCTGGGGCACCTCCATAAAGGGTCTGGGGAGGGAGGGAGGCAGGGAGCGAGCCCTGGCTGAGCAGAAGGAGGGTGGCTGCTGTGGTTTGCCCATTATATTTTTGATTTTTAACCCCACCGTGGCTGGAGAGCATGGAGACCCACAAGGGTTGTGTCCTATGAACCTGCCCACGTCTCCCAGCTGCAGACGGTGGCTGTGGTCAGGTAGCAACTGTGAAAGCAACCGCAAGAAGCGTTTGGTCCTTTCCCGCAGCCGCAGGTGCCCGTCGGGGTCTTCAAAGCAACCGCTGAAGCCCATGAATGAGCACGAGGTCTTGCAGTGTCTGAACTTGGTGTACCTCTTGCTCAAGCGTTTCTTGGAGGAGCCGATGAAATCGGTGTCCCTCAGCTCCATGATGATAACGCTGCGGATACTTGGGATGTTTGTCAGCAAAGAGGATTTGCTACAAGGGAACAAGGTGAGAACAAGGTCCGTGGCTTCTGTCACGGGGGCTTAGCCTCCTGTTTGTAGCCACGGAGAGCCCAGAGCTTCTGGCTCACTCTTCTATTCTTTGATTTCTCAAGGAATTCCAACAGTTTACTTCAGCGGAAAGGTTTCAAGAGTTTTCATGTTTGACCATGCCGTGGCTCGAGAGATACTTTCACAGGGCGCCCACGGACGAGAAATCCTTCCTGAAGAACATTGAGGTGAGTGACGAGACCCAGAGACCAACACGAGCCACAACCCTGCGTAGATCTGGGTGTTCCTCAAGGTCCAGCTGATGGGTTTGGCTCTTCCTCCGTAGACGTGGCAGCAGCTGCTTTCAGTGAAGGTTCTCTGTGCGGGGTGGTCCAAGGAGTGGCAGGGCTTGATCCACAACATGTTTGAGAAGTGGCTGAAGAAGGTGAGTCGTGGAGACGTGGCAGCTGGTGGGAGATGATGCTCCTGGTCTTCGCCATGTTCAGTTTTGCCTCGGTCACCATTTTGGTGGTGGAACTCGAGCAGGCTGGTAAGGACCCAGCAAGCAGCTGCCTCTGAAGTGTTTCCTTGCTGTAGGTTAATGACCAATACCTCGTGGACTTCTACCGGGCTTTCCTGAAGATGGAGAAGCACTGTGACGCAGAGTTGGAGAGCTGCTTTACAAATTGCGTCATCCAGTGGATCAGAGCCCTCGACAAAAGCGGGGTAGGAGACCTGCCACCCCTCCTTGGGCTGCTGGAGGCCTCTACATCCCACTTTGTTGACGCTTTTACTGATCTGTGCTGGGTTAAGAGGGTGGGGAAAGGTCTTTCTGAAACAGCCGCGAGTCCACAAAGCCCCTAAAGAGGAGAAATTTCTTGTCCTTCCAGGAATCCATGCTAAAATCCATGATACCCGTGGTCCTCAAGACGAGCAAACCAGCTGCTGGGACGGTGCTTTCCATTCTTGTGGAGAAAAATGTGTTCGGAGATGAAGAGGCTGGGAAGCGTCCACACGTTTGATGAGAGCACCGGCCCTGTTCTTGCAAACCTGCTTAACACTCCCGGAGTCTGTGATCATCTCATTTCTGCTGTCCGTGAGTGCCCCCTGAGGGCTTTTCTTGGGAGAAGCTCCTGGTTTGTAGGTGAGCTAGACAGGAAGACGAGGTCTTTTCAGAGAGACCTTCCAATTTTGTTGGCAACACAAAATGAGAGGGGGGAAAAAATAATCTTCCACGCTAGGAAATGAAGCTTCATTCCAGGAATGGAGAAACATCTGGGTTTCATTCCAGGAATCTCGATTGCTTTATCCCGTCGCAACGCTGCTTCATTGCGCACTCGGTGAGCATGGGGCTTGTTGTTGAGGGGAAGGACGTGAGGGAGCCAGAGCGCGTCCACGCGAAGACAGTCAAGTGTTAGAACACGAGAGAGATGGTGGAATTACCACGCTTGGAGGGTTTCCGTGGTTGGACAAAGCCTGGTTTGAGGCCAGTGTTGGCCCTTCTTTGATCAGGAGATGGAGGAGAGGATAACTCGTGGCTGTTGCTCCCTGCTACGACTTCTGGCACCATCAAAAAGTCTCTGGGCTTGTTGTCTCCATAGCTGCCCTTCCCGTAGTAGCTGTTGGCTGCGGTGGGATCGTCCATTCGCCTCCTCTTGGCCAGAACAAAGCCACCCAGCATCCTCTTCCATACCCCAGTCCCTCATGGAAGCCCTCCACATCCACTGGAGCCGGCTGCCCAACCTCAGATGCAGTCTCCTAGATGGTCCCTATGGTTTGTTTCAGGCAGGGGGCGCTGCCTGGGTTTCCCAAAGGAAATTTGGGATTTGTCCGAGATGCTGGTTTTGATGGTTGAGCTAGAAAGCAACGACCCATCTGTTCTCCACGCCAGTGGGGTGACGGATCCCCATGAACTGGAAGCTGCTGGTTCTTCCCGAGGATCTGGCTTCAAAAGAAGTAGAGGAGAGAACTTGCCGGCTGTCTTTCACCAAACTTCATTTATTTTACAGAAGAATCGAAGAGCAAATTTCAAGTTCAGCTCAGCGACGGCGAGAAAATCCTCCTTTCCTGGGTGTACGCACTCTCCAGCTTCGTGGGACATCGCATTCTCTCGGGAGACATTCCCTGCAGTATCCTCTCTGAGATCTTAAAGCATAAGGAGCTGTTTCAGAAGATACTGTGCACCTGTGGTAAGTTTGGAATTTCCTACCTGGATGTGTTTTCATAGTTACGTAGCCAACAAGAGATACATGTACTGGATAATTATCTAAAATGCAAAGAAAACTAAAACTTACCTGGAATGGCAGTCCAAAAACAGAAGTAGAAACACAACAGTTGGTCACCGAGGCAATTTTAAGCCATTTGAGAAGCAGGAAGAAGTGAAAATGCTGGGTTATTTAATGCAGTTAAAGTTTTGGAATGTTAGTGGAATTTATTTCCAGAATTGCGGTGGTGTAGCTTCCTGGTTACACGCCTTGCCTTCAGGCCCATCGCAAACTCCATCTATATTCGATTAAAACCCAGAGGAAAGGGGGCAAGCCCTCCAAATTCTGGTCCGAGAATAACTTTGTCGATATTTTTGGTGGTTTTTGGCAGCCGTGCTGCTTTGGGAAGAGGCTGCAGGCTTTCTGCAAATTGAAACCATCATCTTTTTTTTTTTTTTTTTTTTGATGGCAAGGGTTATGTTCCCTGCAGCTCTTCTCTTTCGAAGGAGTTCTCCTTCATGTCTGGGTCTTTTTTTCCAGATTCCTCTTTCTCCAAGTGTATAACAGAAGTGCTGGATGTCAGGAAGCAGGAGTTTGAGGAACTGGAAGAGCAGAAGAAGCAAAGATGCTCTTTCCTGCACCTGTGCCGTGGCATAGAGGACATGATAAAAGGTACCAGTTGTGGTACCAGTGGTGGAGCTTCTTTTGTGGTTCTTGACTGGGGAGATGCCTCCTAAAATATGGAGTCTCACAGTGGGTGGGAGGGAAACACGAACAGGGAACCCGTTGACTTCAGGGCTCGTCTTTGTTGGTGGAGAGACACATGACGTGAGTTCCTTCTTGTTGTTCCCACCGGGTTTAGTGGACAGAAGTACCGTGGAGAAAAGCATCATGGACAGCGAAAGTTTTAAGGATCAGATGTCGGTGAAGAAGTTCTCCATCGATGGCAAGAGTGAAATGGAATCGCACATCCTCACTGATTAGAGCGACATGATGCAAAAACTTTACGTCGTGGAGGGAAGCCACTGTTTCCGCAAGCTGTGGAAGATGAGAGCAGAGCAAACCAAAGCCACAATACCTGAAGCTCAGGTTTTTGCTGTAGAAGATGTTCAAGAAAAAATTTATAAGCCAGCTATCGCTGACTTTCAGAAAACCTACCTGTCCCTCAAAGACTTCTCCATCACCCTTGGGACTGTGCAGAGCCAGTTTGAGAAGCTGCTGGGAGAGAAGGATCAGCTCCTGGAGGAGTTTAAAATCATGGAGGACAGCGAAGGGCCAAGGGGTGGAAAAGCTTGCTGGATCGCAGGTGCTGTGGAGAGGATTGAAAACTACCTGACCCTCTCTAAAGTGGTGAACACTGCCAAGGTGATCGATGCTCTGAGACAGATGCTTCGGCTGGAGGGGGATTTCCAGATTCTCAGTGACCTGACGAAATACGTACGCAGGGGACGTGTGGGCATCTGCGTTGGTTGCTCTTGGGGAAAAAATCCATGTAGACAGGTCCATGTGGTAGCTTATAATTAAATCCTATTAGGTGTGATTCCTTCCTCCTTAATTCAACTTGTGTGATAAGCTGAAGGAATTACTTCCAGCTGCCTCTTCCTATTCATCATGGAGGCCTACAGGGATGAATCCAAGAGCAGACTTGGGTTGGAGGCCAAGATCTCATCTTGTTTGGGGAGGAGGAGGTAGAACTGAGCTTCTTTCCTTCTCTTCCCAACAGAACATCTTGGTTTTTTTTTTCTTCCCCCCCACCCCCCAGGAAGAGCAGGAATTCAAGAAGAAGCGTCTTGATTTTATGACCCAAGACTTAATGAAGGTGAAAGAAAGTTTGAGCGACATTCCCCAGGGAGTCTTGGACTTTTTGAGGGAACTTCTGGAATGTGCAAAGAAAGGTTTTACCTCCTGGATCAAGACCATAATAAAAGGTGAGCTAGAAGGAAGGAAGTCACCAGATACAGCAACAGAAGGAGACCACTTAGTCCTTGTCTGTCCCTGCATCCAACACAGTGTTACATGAATCAGAGCAGAGAAATTCCTCAACTGTGTCTCTTATTTTTCTTTTTTCTTTATTTTTTCCCCCAGACAAGACGGAAATCCCTGTATTTATGGAGCTGGCATCGATTTCTGCAGGAGAAAATGACATGGATATCAACAGAGTGAAGTTCTTCCGTGATGCCATGGCTGCCTCTGCCCCCACCGTATTAGACCTGAGTCCCACAGCTGGGTTTGACCAGTTCTCTGCAGCTCTGTCTCTCATCAGAGAAGCCATCGTGAAAGACAGCAAGCTTCCCAAGAAGCTGGTGAGTCTTGAAGTCCCACGTCCAAAAGTCACTTGGACACTTGCTGTGAGGCCAAGTTGCTCACATGTACGTGTCTGATGCCATTTAAGATGATTTCCCCAGGACATCCATGTGGCCATGGCAGATGTGACTCAGGACCCGGGCAAAGGCAGTGCTCTTTTTTTTGGAGCGGAAGCCTGGTGGAACATCTCAAATGACCTTACGGGTGTGGGCAACTGGAGGAGACCCAGTAGGTGTTGTGAATAGGAGGAAACGAGTTCAGGAGTCTACAGTTTAGGATCACGGAATAGTTGAGGTTGGAAGGGACCTCTGGAGAACATCTTGTCTAAGCCACACCCTCGAAGCAGGGTTACCTACAGCGCAGGTAGCTCAGGACCATGTCCAATTGGGTTTTGAGCACCTCCAAGGCTGGAAGACTCCGGAACCTGTTTCAGGATTTGATAGAAAAGCTTTTCTACTGTTTAACAGAATCCTTTGTGTTTTGTGCCCCAGGCTGTCACCGAGCCTTATGCTCTGCTGTCCACCAAAACTAGAGCAGAGAACAAGAGCAGCACCACATGCCAATGCTCTGGGGTGTTAGGATAGGTCCAACTCTGGGGCTGTCTCTCCTCAGAAGCCGTGGGAAACCCCATCCTCAGAAGAAATGGTCCCAGAAACCCCACCCACATCAAATTTGGGGCGGAGGAGTGGTGCTCAGCATCCTTCCAGCTGGTTACTGGGTTTCCCTTCGGTTCTTCTTTTGCAGAAAGTTTCCTGTGACAACAGGGAGTGGATACAGATGGTTCACGACTCTCATAGCTCTGTGGAGCCTTCTTCGATCTCTCAAGCCAGAAGCATCAACAGCAATGGGATTTTTACCATCTTGGCACCTGTGAAATTCAAGGTAAAGGGTCTCCAGGACTGTTTCTTGTCCAGTTGTGTTTTCTAATGCTATTGGGAGAAAAGATCTTCCTTGAAATCAACTTCCGATGAGCATGCCAGGTTGCCAATAGATCTCCAGTTGGGTTTGCAACTAGTACCACCAGTTTTCTCTTAAACCTTGAGTATTTTCAGTGGAAAACGCGCTTTTCTTCCTCCCAAAGGAAGTGGTACAAGACACGTAGAGTCCTGATGTGCAGCATTTCAACTCAAAGGCATGTAAAAGGCCATGTGGTGATGTTGGTTGTCTTTGCTTTCCAGGCTATGCTTGAGGACTGTGTCTCTTTGCGACTGCTGAATGATAGTGAGGAGAGCACATCTCCAGCAGACCAGAAGGCCAAGAAATACAGCTTGTCTCAGCTCACGGAGCTCCAGAACAAGCTTATGTTGATTGCCACCAAGGTTGAGCAGGGCAGAGAGGAGGCAAACCGTTTCTTGGAGGTAAGTCACAGCGCAGCACCAACATCTGCCTGAAAAACGGTGGCTGTTGGGCTTGGGATTTTGCTGGAAAGATTTCTGGGAAACTCATCCATGACCTGCAGTTCTGGCCTTTCAGGAGCAGAGGTCTTGCTTTAGGGTGACATCCACTTCCCAAGCCTCAGCAGTGGGATTTGCTTGCCTAAGCATTGGTCTTCACTTGTGGTGCCCAACAGCCCATCCAAGACCTTTCATACTTCACTATGGAGGGACTCATAGAATGGTTTGGGTTGGAAAGGAGATTTGAAGAGCATCTAGTCCAACCCCCCTGCCA